TCTATTTAAAAATATATGAATAAAAATACAAAAACACAAAATTCAAAAGTATTCATAAAAAATAAACAGTTAGCCCTAAAATTCCTGACAGATTGTAATAATCCAAAGATTACAGACTAATATAGTACTACAAAGGTTAAATGGCACCAGGGGACGTGACATTTGTTACTAAACGCTGTTATTAACTGTCATTTAAAAACGTCAGTCTAAAGATCAGAGATAATACATTAATTTGATAATAACGGGATGATCAAAACTGTTTTAGCCATTTATATATAACATATTAAAACAATTAATAAATTAAAATGCGTGAATTATATATGTATATATATTACAACTTTTAACCTTGTCGAATATTCGTTAACTTTCAGGCAAACGATACCAAATTTTTGGCCAATTTCGGTGTAGTTCTTTCGTTTTCCGTAGCACTGATATCGCAAAGGTAAGATCGCACGGTACACACTTAGCATTGAGTCGGATATCGGGAGATTACAGAGTACAGCAGATTATTGTTTTGTCCTTTATGGTATTACCGTTCGTAAATATAAAATCTGGCAAAAATAAAAATTTAAATATTTTTTTATCTAGAACATACTTTTTCATTATATTTTTTTTTGCTGCGTATAATAGAAGCTGGAGCAATATAAACAGTAATAAAAAGAAATTTTATTTTATTGATTATTCATTACTTATTGTATTATTATCCCAAATGCTTATTTTTAATTATTTGATAATGAGATTTTTACGATTTCTACAGTATTCCATCTAGTATAAGTCTACTGTTTTCCCTGCTTTGTAATATGATAGTTTCTCAGGGTTGTCATCACTGGTTGACAACGAAAAGTTTCATATTCTGTATTTTACTATTCATGTTTGTTCTCCAACACAAATGAAGAATCATTTCTAAGTCCGTTTAGTTGATGATTTTTTTGAGACCTACCTACCTACTACATAGGGCCAAGGGCAGCATAACAAGCCATATAGTAATTTTATTGTTTTTGGAGTTTACTCCTTAAGAAACGATTTGAGTTATAAGGCCCGGTACGGAAATTTTATGAGGAGTAAAATCAAGTGTAACACGAAAAGTTGAGGCGTTATGTAGAAAGAGGAATACATTACACAGACTTTTATATTTTGAATTCACGTTTTGACAGCCACGTTGCAACATTGTCAGTGTTGACAGGTGTAAAAAATAAAAGTAGATTGTCTAGCGTGCCATAGAGTTTTGTCAATAGTAATGGTCAGTGAAATTAAAACTAAAAAGATTGTTCATTCTTATTCTTCTCTTACTATAAAGGTAACTTTGGTCACAGAAAGAAAATCCTATTTGGGCATAGATGATGTAGGTACGTTTTATTACTACAACAAACATTTATATTATAAAAACATATATTCTTACCACCTTTAGTATGAAAATATGGTCGACAGCCACAGAACATTATCGCCATTTTATCGTTCGTAAGGAGTAAACTCCAATCGTGCGTCGTAGCTGACACACACACACTTTTTTTTAATATATATTTTTACTACAACAAATGTTGCCAGGAAACTGAATTGATATAAGTTAGTTGAATCGGTCTAACAGTTGTGCAGTTTATTAAAGCGAAAACAAAAAAAAAGAAATTGAAATGTAAGTTTTGTTAGACGTTATTTTAGTAATGGAAAAACGTTAAAACTATAAACCGCCAACCCTATCCTCTTGTTAGTATCTGTCACCAATCACACCCCTTACGGAAGTAACATACTTTATACTAAACCTCACAATACAGCTGGAACGCTAAAAAATATAATGACTTATTTCTATTGCATTAAAGTTCCTATTTGAGTACAATTTCGTCACACTTTCTTCAACACATCAAGTTCTCAAGAATCGTACGCAAAAAGCGACTTTATTGCTTAGTAACAAGGTTCAAGATAATATTTTTTCGGACATTTTAAGGCCAAGTGCTCAAGTGAAGAAACAATTAAGGTTCCGCTTCTTTTGACATCGCTTGATGGAGATTTTTCTAGGGCCCTTTAAAATGTCGTGCTTTAAAATTATATTACCCTCAGTAAAAACTAAAAAGTATTTAAGTATCAAATATATAGAAGAGTGGAACAAATTTCATCTACATTAAACGAAGTTAATGTAACGCAATTTATTCAAAAAACAATTGACTGATTTCTTACCTATTTCTTCTTTTAAGATTTATGAAGAAAAATATTATGAGAGAATATACGTCTCCCTCTGATAATTTTAGAATTCACCATACGGAAAAAATATTTTTTTTAAGCAAATAATCATAAAACTAAACAGCCTAGCTAATAAATTGATTTTGAGCAGCGTTATGAAGAGTTACGAAGCGCCGTTACTCGCCGTTACGCCGTTAGTGTTTTTGTAGTTAGTTACTTTTTTAGCGTTTTCGCTTTAGTCAATTAGAAATATATTTATCCTATGGTGACAAAAATGTTTTGTCGAACTAGGTAAATTTAATTTTAATTATTTTACTTTCAATAATAATCCGGTAATACTTACTGCGTATTTTAAATTACCGTAAATTTTATGTAATCATTATTATCATATCATATTTTAAGCATAAGCACCTAAAGTAATGTCTCCTAGCAAAATTAAAATAAATTATTTTTAAATTGACACTAAATACTCAATGCTACAAGGAAACGTCGGCCATTAGAAAATTTCCCGCGTTTTGTCGTCAGCGCGCGCTTTACGTCAATTAACAAGTGATTATCCTACTCGACGGTAGATGGCACGGATCGGATTACTGTCCTTCGGGACTTGTTAGTTTTGCAAATATATATTATTCACCGCATTTTCGACCCTAGCTTACTTTATTTAAAGTTTTAAATAAAGCTTTATTTTAAGTTTAAATGTTTTCTATTGTCTACTTTTAGTAATCACTTAAACTTTAAATAAAATATATTGTTTGTACCATTAACTATAAAATTTATTTTCCTGATCAGAAGTCGAAGATTTTCTTTCGTTGGCATTGTGTATGGGTTACTAGATTCCTAAAGACAAAGAAAAGGAAAAGAAAGACTTTTGAAAGAATACACGGATAAATAAAAACTCAAGAATGATAAAGTAACGTCCAACATTTCATCGTATACAAATATTATTTTTACTCAAGGTGATAAAAACCATACCATTTGTTAAAAAGACGGCACCGCAGGTGCACTGCCCGTTTATCCCCTGTTCTATAGAAAAAAAGTTGAATTTAGACATGCAAATGGGTTTCGTGCACTTAAATAAAATAAAATAAGTCTAAATATGAGGCATTAATTAATAAATTATTACTTATTAATAATATTACTATGACTCATACAGTTAATATTCATTGCCAAAAAAATACGAAATTCATTTTAAATTTAATAACTTTCATTGTAATTTATGTCCGCATTTGATTCTAGGTAAAGTACAAGTAATACAAGATACCAAATGATAAGAGGAAGTACGTAGCGCTCCATTGATAGAGGTTTGCGTTTATAAAATTGTTAGTTACCTTAATACTATATAAACAAATTGCACAGCATCACCTTGATGGCTGGAAGTCTTCCACAGTCTGCTTCACAAGACACTTTCATTTGCAAATCAGCGAACTGTGGAATCAACTCCCGGTGGGGGTCTTTCCTGAGGTATACGACCTCCAACTATACAAAAAGTACTCCTCCTCCAAACTCCACTTAAAATTGTGTCCATGGGTAGCAAAGGCTTTGCCGACTGCCTTTTTTGGGCGTCGCGTAGTCATATATATATATATAACATTATATATTAATAACATTATTATTATTAATGTTGTGTGTGTTTATAAAATACTTATGTAGTCTCAAAAGGTTTGTGTTTACATCTTTTAGGTCTTGCCTCTACTAGAGATCAATATTTCTCAGTTTGCCCTATTATACAGAGATCTAAGCCTTAGTCTAGCGGCATTAATAATTGTAATTTAATTATATTCATATATATCTCATGTTGCTTTGAAACTATCACAAGATTTGTTATAACAATTTTTTTTACTTAAAACAAGCGTAAAGTACAAACCTGAAACTATTTAATATACTTACTAAAACCTTAAACTTAGTAGATAATTTCAATCATCCACCATTCTTCCTAATAATTTTCCTTTTTATACCAAATTATAAACTCGCTTTACTGTGATTGAATCATAGAGCAATTAAACGCTTTTTGTTTGAAATCGCGATTCGGTGTTTCTCTCACCATACAACGTAGATAAGATACCCCTCTAAAGATAAGATTGCCAGCCATTTTGTTAAAAACATTTGATGCACAGTCAGATTGGAGTTTCTGTGATGTATTTGTGGAATTAGAGTCAATATATCGGTAAATATTTACATTTATTTTTTCTTTCGTCAAAACTTATTAAGTACGTATAATATTATTTATGTAGTTTTTAAAGTAATACCAATTTTATATAAATAAATATAGAGTTTATTCAAGGCACTGCGTCGAATTATATACATTTTCTTCATCTTTCTTAGTAACCGAACACACAGCACTATAAGATACTGATGTCCCAAAATTTAAAACGGTCCAATGATTGACTTGTAGGTGATCTAATTATACCTTACTGATATGATATGATACACCTAATCTAGTCTTAATCAACGAAAAATAAGCCAAACGTTGAAATAACGGCTGAATATTAAAATGTATAAGAATTATTTTTATTGATATGTTTAAATTTCACGAATAAATCTTAATATATATATTTCTTCTGTGCGTGTGTATGTGACTGAACTTCTCTCAAACGACTGGACCGATTTTGATGAAATTTTTTGTGTGTGTTCAAGGGGATCTGGGAATGGTTTAGATTCACAAATCAGCCCGGTAGATGGCACTGCAGTCGGTACTTTCATACTTTGCTTAATATCCTAATCGCTTTAAATATCATGCAGGACAACGTCTGTGGGGTCCGCTAGTTATATCATACAATTTTACATTTAAATAATTATTTCTAAATTAAATTTATCTATTACAGGTAACAATGAGTGTCCGTGGTATATTTATTGTTGTTATCATTGGCCTTATTGGAGTTTATGGCGATGACACACCAGGTACATAAACAGGTTTTACAGGTTTACAATAAATACAATAAGAAATATTTTAATGGCAATGAACGCTTCACATATTATATATTTTACGATATTTTATTTGTTTTATATTCAGAAAAATCTAATGAAACAATATCAAAGAATCCGGTGTGGAAACAGACGGGAATTTGCAGAAAGTGTATCTGCAAAGATGAAAAGATAAACTGCTTCGATCAAAGTCTTACTACGTTTTTTACTAAAAAGGAGTGGACTGGTAAGTTTAAAAAAATACTTGATACCTTAGGAAAGCACTAATGTTATTAGTTTTTGCTGTAAAGAGCTCCGTTTTTCATTCAGAGTTGGAAATTAGTGCATTGCTAGCGCGACTCCCATATATGTACCAAAAGAAATTTTAATTTGACATACAGCAGTTGCTGTCTGCTGCCATAAATTTTGGCTTTAAATCAAAGCTAACGCTTTAACAACTGCTACCATCTACCCAAACTCCCCAGTTATTTATGCTTCTATAAACCGAACGCTCGATCGTCATATTTTTTCGGACCGCCTATTCGATTATAGTAAGAGAGAGAAATTCTGATATCACTTTCTTAGGTTCCATTATTTTCTAATTTTTGGTATTTTTTGTAATTTTTCTCTATGTAAACTTATTGATGACATATATTGTAATCTTTATTGTTTGCGCTCGCCGTCCACACCTATTATCGAGGCCACATTGGTTCTTGTTTGTCTAAGTTGCTTTTCTTCTCCCTTTTTATGTGTGGCCTTGTTAGTGCGGCTATAAATAATAAACATTTAAATGTGCACTTCAATACTTGTTTTGTTGTCAAACAAAAGACGATAGTTTAGTGTAGTTGCTAAGTGGTTAGTGCATACCCACAGAGTAGAACTTAGAAGCTTTAGCTTCGATTCCTCGAGTGGAATTCTTGCGTTTTTTATAAAAATTATAGAAAAAAGAGAACGGAGTCTCGTCTTGTTATTGAAAATCCGTGAAATGATGTAGAAAATTTTATATAAATAATTAATTTGACTTAATTCAAAAATAACTTAATAATAAGACACACCTTCTTTCAGACGTTGCAGAATTCAAACCAAAAATAATAGATTTGAGTGACAACTCAATCACGAATGTAACTGCGTTCGCGCAGTTTCCCGTTGAAATTCTCAATTTATCACGGAATAGTATTGAGTTTATTGAGAATGCTAGTTTTAAGGATCTTCAGTCTATGAAAGTTCTAGATCTAAGTCATAACAAGCTCACGTCGGCGACACTTAGTCCACATGCTTTTGAGGTAAGATATAATTGAATGTTATATTGTAAGTTGTAGTGGATTTCGGTAATATAGAACTAATAAGGCACGCCGAGACGTCCTTTGCTTCTATCGTGCTTAAGCTGTGTAAATTAGGAGATTGTCGGTTTGTCTCCTGTCCTATGCGAAAAATATCACAGCCCGCAGGAATGATTTTAAAGTAACTGAATTTCTCAAACGTCTTTTAAAACGTATAAAAATGTAAATCGTAATTTTTTCAACAAGTTTAAAGACAATAATGGAAATACATTTCATAATAAAATCAATTGCTTTGCTTCCAGGGCCGCTATTCTCCAGAAGAATACGAGCCTCTTGCATCCATGAGGACTCTGAGCTTGGCATACAATGACCTACATAGTCTAAACCAGGATCTCTTTGAGCATTTACCGGAGTTAACTGAGTTGGATTTAAGTGGCAATCCCCTGACCACGATTGATCATGTAACTGTAATTGCAATTTCTAGTCTTCCTATGCTGAAGGTATGTTATTCTAGTACTTAATTAACTAAATGTCATGCCGTGTAAATAAATAAATATACGATGCTTTTTTTCTAAGATCGTAATTTACATTCAGTTTGAAAATAAAGAAGAATGGTCACTAACATACCAGTTATTCATAGGTTTATAACAATGAAGTTATTATCATTTTGTCATTTTATAATTTACAAACAATACGACATAGTTACATTAGTAGCAGAATCTTATCATTTAAATACGACCTATGCTGCCATCTTTTAATCGTATTACGAAATCAATGCACGCCACCTAGTGTTGAATAGCATGATGCCATGAATTGTACCTGCTGAGTTATTTTGTAATAAATATAGATGGCACTTTGCTATGTCTTGGACATGTAGTACAATTAGATAAATCGAATAAATACGTGGTTATAGGTTCTTCGAATGCGGTCCTGCCAATTACCAGACATTCCCGAAAAATTCCTTCATACACCGCGGTACCTGGAGCGCCTAGATCTAAGCGACAACAAGCTAACAGCTGTGCCTTTAGAGCTGGAGGAGACGAAGAATTTGATTTATTTGAACTTGAACCAGAATCCTATCACAGAACTGGACGTTAACAGTGAAGATCACCCGTACGTTGTTTTGATTTATTTGATTTTAAATTGGAACCAGACGATCGTGGTATCGTTCTAATTTAATGTTTCACGCTCGCCAAGAACACAGAAATATTTATACAAACTTTTATTGCCAATCGTACCAATTTGTATGAACAGTCGCCTGAAATCCATAGGCTATAAATATTTATAATGCAATATCGGTTCACGGCTGCAGGGCTAGTCAACGGCCTCTAAACTATATTGTTTTTAATAATTTTAGTCTAGTTTTTACCTGCATCTGACTTCAGCATGCAGACTAAAATTGCCAACCGAAAGCCCGAAATTGTATTCCACTAAAATTACGCTGCTATAATTCATACCTTCAAATTGATTTCGATGAAAGTCGACAACCATGAAATTAATACTACAACTCTATCTAATAAATCATTGTTTCGAAAACCCGTATAACCTCATAACAGACACAATATGTCTGTGACTATAATATGATGTATCTATCACCTATACATTGTAAACCAATTATTATGCTTTGTATATTATCTTTGATTCATTAGTTCTTCTATTTATAAAAGTATTGTAATGAATGTCGACGTTTCGGTGGACGGAGAAATTGTGACCAGTGTGTGTTCCACCGTCACATAAATACAGTCAAAACCGTTTACGACGACATCGTTTAGCCGATACCGCTTATATTGACCAAAATCAAAGGTCCCGGCTGAATTCTATTGTATTAGGTACTTAATAAAAACGTCATCGGCTGTTACTACGATCGTTTTTTACGACCAAACAGTGGCGGATTTACCAGCAGGCTGAGTAGGCTGGAGCCTAGGGCGGCAAATTTTAAGGGGCGGCAAATTTAGTTCATAAATTTTTTATTTCGGTTTACAAATTTAAAAAAAAATTATTATACACACACAATACGAATTTCGAAAATTGGAGAGAAATTAAAATATTTAACAAAAATCGAAATATTCTCATATACAGTAGCACTGTATAAATAAATATTAATAAATATTTCAACATCTCTGCATGAACAATTCCTAAACGCTTTACTAATTATACATTAATGATTATGAACTTTTAGAATATCGCGATTCGATATTATAATCGAAATTTAGTTATTTTTTACATAATACATATATTCTTCACTGATAACTGCTATAATTTTTTCTCCGTGTACCTAATAATTATGAGATCTGCTTACCCAATTCAATCGATATAATATCGATGGTCTAATAAAAATACTGACTAAAATTGACTAATTTTTATTAAATAAAAAACTAGTTCAATATCTTATAGCGATCATATTAATCAAATAACTGATAGTTGAACGACTGTGACTTGACAATAAAAAAATTCCCTCCACAAAATATGAAGTGAGACAATTTGCTCATTAGAAAATTGATACATTTTATCAGTTAATTATTTTATTTGCAGTAAGAAAAAGTTTGGAAAATCCAAATGAGCAGGCCTTAAGCGCTCATGTCGTACACGAATTATTTAAATTAAATGTTTACATCAGTAGATTTGATAACTTTTTCGCAAAGCCAACTTTTTCAGAAAATGCCAATCGGAATGAATTAATTATAATAAGATAAAACAATACTCAGCTGCAATTTTTTATTCAACGGCTTCTCTCCAGTTAAACAAGTATATTTAAAAAAATTGAAGTGAAAAAATTATTTTTTCGAAAGTTATCGTGTTTACTGTGAACACGATCATCCAAAATCCATACGATATGGCATTAAAATTACTTCCTTTTAAATAAAAAATAATTAATCATAACCGAAAAAATAATTTTTATAAGCTCAGCGATCATTTTTCTTTCCGATAAGTTGCTTTTTAAATAATATTCATGTACATCATATTTGTTAGGTACGGTTTAATGTGAGAAAACATCGGATTTAGATTTTTAGGCAAGAGTAGAGCATACCTACTACGCGCTTCGCACTTAAGGCATGCAATTGCGTAGTCGTATTTGTATTGTAACGCCAGAACAAACGACATGACATGACATTCATATTTTGTAAGTATTGTATAGTTTTAAGACCTTACCTTACTTTAAAAGTGGTATACGATTGAGATATTTTTTCCTTAAAATAATGTTTTTTGATAATTCTTTGCTGTAAAAATAATCAAGGATCTAACACGGTACCATAGTTCTCAATAATAATAACTATATGGGAAAAGTTGATGTAACGAGGATGATGGAGCACAAATTATAAAGTTGGAAATTTATTGATAGAAAATTGATATGATTGTGGACTAAGATATCAAAATTTAAAGGCGGCAAAAATTGAATAGCCTACGGGCGGCAAATCTATGAATCCGCCACTGCGACCAAATATGAGTAGTCCCTTTGATTTCGTTATAACAGATTTTAACTGTAGTTGTATTAAAAAAGATATATTGTGCCTTTGTGCCTAACTGAAAGAATTATTGTTTCGCCGGGAATTGAATCCAAGAAAAATTGTATGAAATTAATAATTTGAGGACAAATTTTTCAGTGGTTTTCCCCGTCTCCGCAAGCTTCAAGAGCTGCATATGTGTAACATGCGTAAGCTGCAGCGTATAGGTGCAGGGGCACTAGCAGGCCTAGAGACCATACAGAGATTGCACATGTGTTGTAACCCTCAACTGAGCTACATTGACCCTAAAGCTCTGGCCAGATCTGATGATATTGGAGAAACATATGACTGGCCAATAATTAAGGAAGTAAGTGAAAACATTCTAAGAACTAGCTTATTCAATAGCTTTTATTTGCCTTTGCTAATTGATGTATCGCAATAGACAAAAAACCCATGTTTCCACGCCTAACCAATAAAGTATCCCCAAATTCCATGTATTCTCATTTGGGTTGTCTGTGAAATCATAGAAAAAAGAAAAGAAATTTTTTATTACACATAAATAAAAAAGTGTACAGTAAAATGAGAACGTGGACCTAACACTAGGATTCCTGTGTGTCGTGTTTCTTGTTTCTTCTAATGACAAGTATTTAAAGCAAACATATTCTACATAATACTTAGTAGATATAATTTTACTGTTGCTGCACAAGAAGATTTTAGAAGCCCAAATTATAAATTTGCGTCAATTTAAATATTAAACTCTGTTTTGTAGAAACCAACTGTTACTCGCTGTTACTTTCGGAAAAGCAATATGGTAGATTTTGCTTTTGATAAACATAATGGACGTTTTGCGTGACGACACATTAAACCACGTTGATGGTGTAACATTAAACTGTAAAACGTTTAAAATATATAAAATATATTTTAAAGGTTTTACAGTACAAGAATATTGTTACAAGATATATTGTCCACATATCGTGATTATTTACGGTCTCACAGCTATTTTTAAAGAAAAGTTGGAGATAATTGAAGAAAACCTTAATTTTCAGTTGTATCTTCAATCAAACAACCTATCAGAGGTAGACCGTGGTTTTCTCTCCCGTTGGGACCTTTTGGAAAAAGTAGATATTTCGAATAACCCCTACCTATGTGACTGCTCCACTCAGTGGATGGTGGATATATTGGTACCAGTTGTGGAAAGGAAGACTACTAATTCCTCGGAAAATATGATGTGAGCATACATAAAATATTGACCTATATATTTTCATTATTTTTTGTTCGTTAAAAGCATAAAAGACTTAGTAACGAACAGTTGGCCTTTTTAAAAAATATATTTACGATAATACAAATCTGTTACATTTGGTAGTCTCTTATAATTATTTTTAAATACATATTCTTGAGTTAATTGTTTACATTGACAAGATGTCCTTCACAAAAAGGGCATTTGCTTGCGAGCCTTCTGGCAAAGTGAGTGTCAATGGGCTTATCTGGTACCATCAGGTGAGCGTCCTGCCCTTTTATTTACAAAACTCTGGTATCATTTACACTTCTATTTTCTAATTAAATTTGACGTTAATTTATATTATAATCTATAATTATAAAATTTCAGTTGCCAAGAGCCGATAGAAATGCGAGGTTACACGATGAAGCATCTCCATGATATCCATCGCACTATGCGTTGTGTAGACAAGTATGGGCATCGGCCAGAGAGGGATGGTGCCTTGCTTTTGGGGACCCTTATAGGTAAGGTTTACATCTTAACAGATCATCGAGAGTCATCAGATATAGTGTGTAACTATCAATTACATACAATTACAAACTCAAGTTTATTAAATGAAAGCGTCTGTCAGGTTTGAACGAAATTTATAGGAGTTCAAGGGCCGGATTTAGGGGAAGGCTAATAGGGGCTCCCACAATAGAGATTTCGGAAAAAATGTTTTTATTTTATTATATATATATTATATGTCGCAGCCAACTAGCTTAATTAGCCGTTCAATTAACAGCCTAGCCTTTTAACTAAACGGCGTCGTTTAACTAACGGCCTGAAAGTCTTTGTATAACAAATAGAATGAATATAAATATTCCTATTAAATATCTTATGTCCTTTTTTCTAGGTGTCTTATTAGCAGTTCCAATTGTCTTCGGACTCATGATGTTGTGGAAACATGGCTACTTCTCAAGGTGTGGTCTTCGAGGGCCCATCGATGTGTCCAGGGCTTTCTACAAGCGAGCTCCAGCTGATGACAACTACATATAAGCTATATAATTATAAAATTTAGGCTAAAATAAGTTAAAACTTAATTTATCGTTGGCATAAAAAATATTATAAGTTAAATAATGCACTATTAATGTAAAATTCCTTTAAAAATTTGGTCTTACGAGTAGAAGAATTTTCTTAAAAAAGTACCAACATCCCCACCATATTTTTTAGTAAAAAGTACTTATTTAAGTTGACATTAGGTCGAGATATATTTTTAATTAAATAAATAAAATTCTTTTACGATCTTTTTATTTTAAACAATTTGGAGTAACGATTAAATTTCCTAGTAACATTTTATTTTCTCGTTGTTTCTGAAAAAAAAAACGTGTGTGTATCTGTACACGCGTTAGAAGTAATACTTCTTTGGCGTAAGAAGATAAAAATCTTTTCAAAAATTGTATCTACGTTTGTAGAAAAATCGACACTAACAAAAGAGAAAACTAAAATGTTGACTATAGCTAATTTCAGGGTGTCGGTTTTTTGTAACGGTGTGCGCGGGCATCGTAAAAATTTACTCTCATCATTTTGCCATATCGCGCCAAAAGAAGTATAACTCCAAAAATTACGCAATATTAGACACCTATGTAATCTGAAATACTGAACTACCATGGATTTCAGTATTCAGGGTTGAATTATATTCTACATAAAACATTTTCATTCTAAATATATGTAATAATATGTATTCATATAATATATAATACGCACTTAATATAAATATTATACGCACATTACCGCTTAACACTTTATCGAGCTCATACTAAAGTTACTGATACCTTTTGGTTGGTTTCAGTTTCCGCACATAGACGCTCATTAGGTCCGTTGTACTGATACCTTTTAGCTAGATATGGCTTCCATTAATTAATAAATGAGACTATTAAATATTAGGTCCTTACATATGAAATTGGCGTTTTACGTTTTGGCCACTTTGACCTCAAATATCTCCTCTTTGGTTAAGAATTCCAAATTAAAATTTGTACACTATTTACTCATGTTTTGTGCTTCGATACCGTCATTCATTTGTTTTTTCTTCTGTTTTTTTCTTTCGCGTCACTCATTTTACAAAATGGAAAACTTAAAGTATCGCATTATTTACGAGTACGAGTTCCGCCGTGGCACTAGTGCTCGGAAACGACTCGAAGGGTTTTTGGCGGTCATGTTGCAAAAGAAAACACATTCGTTTTGGTTCCAACGTTCGTCTGGAAATTTCGACCTGCAGAACAACCCCGGCGCCTGAGACCCATTAAGTGAAGGCTATATGGAAGCGGATCCTCAACCGCGAGAGCTCGGCTGCGGTTTAGTGAAAAATGTTTTAATTCACTTAAGCAAATTGGGAAGATTAAAAAGCTTGAAAATGGGTACCTCACGATCCAAACGCACCGTGACTCTGCGTACATTACTGAACCTGACAATAATGAAGGTATTTTTAAACCGAATCATTACCTGTGATGAAAAATGGATTCTTTACGAAATCGGAAGTGCTCAGCGCAATGGTTGGATCGCCCCCAAATCCTGCCCCAACGAAAATTAACCCCAAAAAAGTTACTTGTAAGCGTTTGGTGGACTAGTCCGGTTTGTTCATTGCAGTTTTCTCAAATCTGGCCGACTACGGCTGATGTCTATTGTCAGCAATTGCAAACCATATGGAAAAGCTAGCGGCTAAACAACCTAGGCTGGTCAATTGCTCCACGCCACACACTACACAACAGACGGCTACCAAATTAGAAGAGCTTCAATTGGAATGTCTAAGACATCCTCCGTACTCCCCGGACCTTGCTCCAACAAATTACCATTTTTTTCAAAATTTGGACAACTTCTTGCAAGGGAAAAATTTAACTCTGATGGGGCAGTCCAAATGCCTTCACAGATTTTATTGATTCCCGTCGACTGGTTTTTCGTAAAGGGATAAATGAACTACCTAAGAGATAGCAAAAGTGCATAGAAAACAATGGTTCATACTTTGATTAATTAAATATATTATATTTAAAAATATTCGACTTTTTGTTCCTCCCATACAAAACGCCAATTTCATATGTAAGGACCTAATATAACCTTTAAAACATTCCTCTTACATATGTCTAAAAAGGCGGTTAATACCGTGGAGTATATACTCGTAACAAGTTGCATAGTATATAACCTAGATCACCCACGAGTTACGGCAACTGATAAGCTCTAACAACAAAAAAAAAACAAAATATTTCCAAACATATATTTTCCCGTTTTACATTTTTATGGATCTAATTTTTATGTGCATTTAGGTTTCCAGCTTGCATCATCAACATTGTTTCGTAGTGACGATCTGAAATGCCAATTTTATTTATTATAAAGTATCCTTGAGTCCAGCAATGTTGACCTAGTGGTTTGAATGTGCGATTCTCATCCCTGGGGTGTAGGTTTGATTCCTGTGCACCAAGTAAAGGGAGGGATTGCCTCGATGTGTGTCAAGCACAGAAGGCTGATCACCTACTTGCCTATTGAAAATGATCACGGAACAGATACAGAAATCTGAGGCACAGACCTAAAAGGTTATAGCGCCATTATTATATTAAGTATTCTTATAAATTAAATTATAACCAAAAGAGAAAAAAATTAAAAGACTCCAATTAGATAAAATACATAATATATAAGTTCATGGTCTAACATATGTTCACAGCCAAACATATCGTGAAAAAACCAACTAGAACTGGCAACATAAGACCAATAAATTAATAAATAATCGGCGTTTGACTGTGTGAAAACTATGGATAAATAAATAGTACTGATAGTATTAAATAATACTGATATTTTAAGATAAACATACGTTATCGAGTGGAAACTTTGGGTCCTACCCACAATTTGAGCATTTTTGGGTTAACGTTACATAAAAGTATAAAGTATATGTCAAACTAATAAGTAGATATATTCACAACGTTGTGTGACTAATTAAAAGTAATTTACGAATAGAGATTTGTCTTCCCCATGCATCTATATGGACCGGAAACGAGGGCCTGGTAGAAATTACTTACTATAGCTTACCACACGTTTTAACGCATTTTTAGGAAGAACTTTCTTCATCTTCGAGCGGTAAGCCCCCAATCTGAAACCACAAATAGTGTGTAGTGTATTTGCAAACCGGCATGGGTTTGACGCGACACAAGAGAGACAGAAACAAGACTGAGCCCTCTACGTCGAGTTTTTGACATACAATTTTGCTAAGTCTATCTCCGGAATTTTACCACAGCTTCAGGCCTTGCAAGGAAACTGGCAGAAGAAACAGATGTAATCAGAGGCCACACCCATAGAGAGATTAATGATATTGTCTATAATGATTACAGAAAAAGTATTTTAGCTGATGCAAACTTCGGTGTTAGAAGCAAATATACTTAATCTGAAGAGTCTGTGTCAACTTCTAGTTTATACAAATTCTATGCAACTTACTCGCTAGCAGTTGGTCCAGCCAAACGCATCGCCTGCGCACGCATACACCGGTAGCTATGAGATTTTTTGTAGTGTTTGCATCTGAATTAAAAAATATTTTTTCTAAAAGGAAAGTAAAGTAAGGAGTATTTTTTGTAAAAGAAAATATTGCAAATACAAAGTTTAACAATAGATGGCGTTAATATGGCAACATTTCAATACTCTAATTATAACTGTCATGGCCTAAAGGTCTAGATACCAGGCCATAAACTCCAAAAAAAAAAATTATAACTGTCAACTGTCTGTCAGTGACTGACTTTCAGTGATGCATCTCGCTGGGCACGATTGCTGAAAAAACACTTGAAACGTCGAGTTATACTGTTATATGTATTTCCTTTTATATCCGTTAAAGCTGCTCTTCGTAATATCAGAAATGTAAGAAGAGTTCTTAATATAAATAGATGAAATACTCTACCTATATCTTGGTTTTCGTTGGCAAGCGTTCTTAACAGGTAACCTGTAAAAAGTCCAAACGATCATTATACAAATTGTACAAATTTTAAACTTCTCTGATTAAACAGTAAATCGTGTCGATAAAAAAAAAAATAAACGGATTAAAATTTAAAGGGTCTTGGTAGAATTCTTTTTAACGTTCCTACACAAATGGATATATTATTTTTTCGTGAATAGTAAAAAAAATAGGACTTTATATTTCTGGTATCAAATTGAAAATGTGTATTCAAATGTATTTGTACCTCCTGTGACTTAGTTGTTACATTCCTTTCTTTGAAAGGCATAGGCTGACCACGAATTTAAAGAAAATTACAAATAAAACATCCACAACTGTATCCATTAAAGAGTTGAATTTTACATAACAAAATAAATGAAATTTAAAAACAAATCTAAAATACGTACCATCCTAACTTATACGGAATTTTTTTTCTATTTATCGTCGAAAACAATTTCTTTAAACCGCGCTCTGAAAGAAAGTTTACACAAAAAGTTTCAGAATGACCACGCAAAAACGAGATAAATTACGGACTGTTTCAAACAATACATGGATTATAAAGGCCCATTTACACGATGCCATTTTCTTGCCTGTAGCATACAATTATATCGACGCAATAAATGAGTTGCGTGGTCTAAACAAAACGTAACATTCTTGATCAATGGGAAAAGTTTCCTTTCAAAACTATTATTGATGTAAACAGCACGTACAATAATTTCTTACGCAATTCTTGTACGCAATTATCTCTTCATTTACAAACATGAGTGCAGTGAGTGAGGGTGTGTTAAATTAAATTAAATAAAAATTAAATAAATTAATTTAGTTTAAATTTTTTATTTTGTTTGTTATTTCCTTCGGTCCGAAACCGTCAACTTCAAATTCCTGTGAAAATGCTGCTAGCGCATCATTACGTGCATCGGTTCTTATAATTTACATTTTTGGTATCCCATAAACACTCATGACTGCGATAAATCTCAATGAACTTTATTATATCAGCAGAACTGAATTTAAACACCTTTTTTCTCATATTTATACCTCTCTGTTGGATGGTTCTAATATTTTAAGAAGACTGAGCCTCTGGTGGTGAGGGTCTATT